GAGTTTATTACTTCAAAAGGACGGCAACTTTGAACATAAGAGATTTCGTATCAAAATCAAAACTCTGCGGTCAAGTTTGATAGACGTGAATATTTGGTGACGTTAAAACACACTGTTGTTGTTTCTCGGCTTCGGCGTTGCGCACAATATTTTTTTATTGCAGTAGAGCAACCAACGGATCGAAGCAGCAACGACGACGTCAACAACAACAACAAAACAGAGCAAAGCGCTGCAGTAACTTTGAAGAATTGCATACATTCGGGTCGAGTGAGAGACGGGGCGATCTGTCACGACGAGCCGAGGCGAACAGAAATGCCGACGGCGTGAGCCAGTGGGGGTGGGTGGGTGGATTTGGGGAGCTTTGATGCCAGGAAGAAGCAAAAGTAGCACGCCACGTGCGCTCGCACTGGGCTCGCTCTCTCGCAGGCTGTCATGGACACACACAAGAGGAGGACAACGCCCTCGAGGGCTGCACCACCACCAGCAGCAGCAACAGCAGCAACAGGAGCAGCGGAGATTTAGACGGCCACGGAGCGGTAAGGGAAAAACAATAAACCATTGTTCGTAATGATCGTGACAATTGTGTACGCTAAAAAAATGTCAACGCTTGAGGTGAGTTTATAAGCACAATGGTGGCAACGCGCATTTGTTTTTCATATATATATAAATTCTCATTTCTTAAATTACCGGCGCATTTAGAGACACAATGCAAGGTTTCGCACGTAAGATGCCAAAACTACAAAGTCCAGACTCGAGTGGCACATTCTTCAAAGCAGCTTCGGCTCATCGTTAACTCAAAAGGCATTTCTCCAGCCAAAGGAGACAGCAGCAGGCACTGACCGGGCCATAAATAGGTCGGTGTGGTCCCTCATGTCCAGATCCAGACATCCCACAAACTGCACGCCCTTTCCAAGTCAGACAACGGAACTTTGCAAGAAACAGGGACCTACATTGTCAGGTGCCCTTTGCCTCAAGTGCACAACTGGCTCAGTGGCAGGCAGACCACACACATTGGTGCGTGCAATAACAGCAATTTGCATACTGCATAGTGCGTCCTCTACCTTACAATACTTTTATTCAGTGTACAATAATTTTAAAAAATGAATTTTACAGTATACGAGAGTTTAAATGTTTCCAAATATTCACCAGCAGAAATGTCCTGAGAGAAATGCTACGTGCAAAGCGTTTTGAGTTAGCGCATACTGTATAAAATGTAGCTTGCAGAGAACAGCATGTGTTTTTAAGTGCTACAGTACATGTCAATGCAAAATTATTTTATACAATAAAAGCCTTTAGCTTACAAGTAAATAAAAATGTTAAGTACCGTACAAAGTTTTCTGTTGTTCCCCCATCTTTCCATCTCCATTGTTCAAAGTATTTCCGTGCTCAAACCAGCATTAGGGTGGCGTCAAGCGTGGAAATGTCCGCATTCATATGAATGGGACCAGTTAATCCAAAGGACAACCATTGTTAGCATCCTATTATTTGGGCAGAGTACCCAATTGTCACCACTGGAGGATGATGATGGGATGAGTTGCCAAACTTTGGATTCTGAGTCGAGCTCTGTCTTAGTGCCACGCGGGTAAGTCGGCAACAAGTATTGTATTGCAGCTTCCCTCCTTCAGGAGCTTCTAGTTTTTGTTGGCATTGCATTGTCATAGACAGTGATAAACATTAACGTTTTTGTTATCTAATAATTGTTTGGTTAACTATAAACAAATAGACTCCTAAAATGAAAATCAATTCCAAAGTCAATTAATTGTTATGGTACACAATAATACGATACAGCCCTTTGCTGCAAGCTGTTTTAAGTTGAGAGTTTTAAGTGACTGACAGTTGCGTGAAATTTCAGAACCTAAATCTTTAAAATTATCACGTGAAGGAAAAACATACAAACTCACTCACGAACCACATACGTCAGAACATGTATGGTAAAAACACATGACAAAGCATATAACACTGCGACGTCGAGCTAACATGGTCAAGTTAGCTATGACCTCAGTCTAATGTGCAGACTTTATTCTTTTTTGTGATGATATTGAAACTTGTGGAGAATTGTGGGGGGGGGGGGGGGGCAGGGTTATTTAACGATAAAAAACGCTATCGATGTACTGTACTTAACTATATGCCTGATTTGGTGTCCTCTGCTGGTTTGGTACATTGTTATATTTGGCACTTTACCCTCAAATAAACTTTTGATGGTCTCAGCTCTCTGATATGAGCTACCTTATGAAACTCACAGCACGTGTAGCACAACGTCGGACATCTACACGCGGTAAAAACAAAAAAAAAACAGAGAACTGTACAGCACAATTGAGAAATCCCTCCGCAGTACGGATTATCGATGTGCTTGTTCACCCCAAATCGGCAGTGTCCTTTATCTCGCTATCTCTCTCTAAGCGTTGCCACAATCCGACTTTTGCCGCGACATGCCTTTCTTGTGCTGAGACCCCCGCATGACAAGCACACAGAGACCTCGTGTGATGCTACACATAACACTCAACATCCATTTTACTGGTAGGAACCTCCTGGTTACACCAGCCCACAGGGGATTATTGTGTCCGTCCGTCTGTCGTGCATCCAAAAATGGGAGGGGTGGGGCTGGGTGGAGAGGGGAGGGTGGAGAGGGGCTGGGTGGGGAGAGGCTGGGTGGGGAGGGAGGGGCTGGGTGGGGGGCTGGGTGGGGAGGGTGGGGGTGGGAGGGGTGGGGCTGGGTGGGGAGGGGCTGGTCACCCCGTGGTGCCCTTATAAAACTCAACGTTTAACCTACTTACGCCGGCTTGTGCCCGCCCTCACAGTCGGGCATATTTGCGGAATACACCACGTGGTGCCGCCGTTGACCCTGGCCATTGACCGAGCAACCCAACGTTCCTACCAGCTCCCTCGGCAGGAATGTGTTAATAACGCCTTTTAAAATGTCACTTTACTGCAGAGGAGAGAAACCATTAATGGTGGAATGAGACACTTGTGTTTTTCTTTTTTACCAATTGCTTCCACCCAATGAAAACGTCACACAATTGCATTTATTACACAAACAGAAATGCACGCCGAGTTCCATTCACGCACGCACTTAACACGTGTTAACACAGATTTTATTCCGTTTCCACAGCTTCTATTGCTTTAATTACAAACACAGCTTTATAAGCTGTGACATGGCTGTGAAGTACAAAAGTGGCAATGCCTTTAAACAAGGAGATCATTGACCCTGTGCCTTATGAATTTAGTCGTTCACAATCGAAAAGAAAATTGGCCCAAGGCAATGAACAGTCAAGTTTTAGCACAGTGCTGCAAACAACAAAATTAAGCCACCCTTTGTATGCCAGTTGAGCCATAAAAACATACTTCTTAGCAACAACGAAAATCTGCTGCATTAAAATTTCAACTTGTGTACAAAGTGCAATAATTGTTGTGGCTTCCAGGTTTTTAGATTAGCGTGCACGAAAGTTCTATTGGAAGTGCATTGTAAGCAGTGAAGCCTGCAAAGCAATGTAAGGGATATGAAGACAATGCCACTGCCTTGAAAGAGACCCAAGAGCAGGCGGGTAGAGTTCCAGAATTTATTCATTTTTGGAAGAAAGATTTGCTCCATCTGCTGCCATGAGAGTGCCCTACCCCCATTTATAAACACTGACAGAAGGATGGTAATAAGGCTAGCATAGCATTTTAGTGTAGCATTCTCAGGGAAATGTGTCTGCCCCTCATTTTTGCATATGTGTATTTACAGATGACCACGTGCAACCCCTTTGTGTGAATCCACTGCTGGATGAAGGCTTCCCCAAGCTGTGCAGTTCCTGAGGATTGTTTGAGCTAACTTCAAAACGCTGGTCAGTGCAACTCGGTTGGTGGCACAGAGCACAGATGTTGAGAGAACCATACAGCACAATAATGAATTTTCTGCACTTTAAATGCAAAGTGGTCACCCGTCCATGCACTACCCAGGCTAAACACTGCTTTGCTTTTGAGCTCTTACAAAATCGGGTGCATTCCAGGAGATTTGGTCAGGGCAATCTCTATGCACACCCAGAGATAAATAGAATGCACATTTCTTACTCTGCCTAAACTGTCGAGCAAGTCATGCAGAGCTCGCCACCAAAGACAAACATCCCCCGTATAGCCTTAACTGACTGTTGGAGCAAGTGCTCTAAGTGAGCACCTATCACAGCCGGCACGGTACACGAGCGGGTGGGTGGCCAGCACCATGCCCGGCCGCCTTTGTCTCCCCAGTGGCGATTATTACCCATCGTGCCAGGTACTCATTTGAGGCCGAGTCGACCTAGTGGAGGCCTAGGACTGATTCAGATAATCAACACCCGTGTTGGCCGTGAGCGGGAATCTAACTCTGGTCGCTGGGTTTGTAGCGCAGCGCGCTAACCGTTGCATCACCACTCCCCACTGTAGAGCTCCCCAAAAACAGACAAGACACCTACACAATTACATTCCCCTGGTAAATATCTTCAACGATAGGGCTGATTCAAGAATCATTACTTACCTCCCAGCAGCATTCCGACAAATGCCAGTGAATGGACATACTGGTTGCACCACACGAACACCTCTAGAATTTTAACACGCGGAAACTTTTCTCAGAAGGATTGTGAGCAGAGCAGTGTTCTCCGATTATTTGAGTAAGCAATGGCTCTACACATAATTATCGGTTAGTATACTCAACTAATCGGACAACACAAAAAAAGTTTCACCTCTGTTGCCACATGTTCTGCTGGACGGGAGGGAAAGAGCTGGGTGCAGTGATGTCATCAGCATCATCAGCCTTATCACGATGGGCATGGATTGCCTTCACCTTCCAGAGGCAGAGTGGGGGGTGACCATCTTTTTTTCTAAGGGACACGAGTAATTGATTGTCATATTTTGTTGACTAATCGACTCATCGTACACCGGCTCTAATTGTGAGTTGAACTGCCAGGTTAACAGAGAAACGTTGCTGATCATAAAAAAAATGTCTAAGTTCGTGTGTGGCAGAGGGAGCCTGGCAACACGGCACTCACCTCGGTCAATCTGAGCAAGTTCCTGGTTCTCGTCCTCAGAGTCGTCCTCTTCCTCCTCACTTGATGAATGAGTCACCTACCAACGACACGGAGCACGGTAAGCAGAGCCAATCGCATCAGATGTCTGAGAAAGAGGCTGTCCACATTATTTTTCCAAAGCTTTGTTGGTTAGGCAAGCAAAACACAGGTCTCAAGTGGAAACAACCTTCTCTAATCCGAAGGTCTATAAAGCACCTTATCAGTGTATTGCTGAATGAAGGCCTTCCCATGCCATGTTGGTTGAAAGGGTTGTTTGACCATACTTCACCACGCTGGTCAATACGGGTTGGTTAAACATAAAGCTCACATACGAACCCACTTCATTTGTAGGCCATTGAAGGAAAAGTGGTGGTGATCATTGATTTTATACTATTAGCATTAGCTCCAGCCCGAGGTGTCTAACAAATTGAAAAGGGTAATTCACGTGGAAATTACACTACCCTTCCAAACCTTTCTCTCTTTAGATCGCATCTTGCCCTACCTACACTCGTCCCCACCTTTAACACGAAAAAACCCTCTATTCTTGTCCCCACCTCCACACCATAATTATTTTTTTCTTTAAAAAATGTTAATGTTTTTTTTTATCTCACCAAATGTGCTGCACGGGATGGGTGAAGTTTATCAAATGCTGCAGATGTCCAAAAACGCTAAAATATATATGTTGCAGTTAGTAGTGCAACAAAAAAACAAACGTGCCCAATGGAAATACCATTGATGCCCTGAGACAAAAAAAAACAGCTTCTCAAATGCCACTGTGACCCACTTTCAAGGGTGCGGTTTGCTACGATATAATTGTTGTTCGTTTTTCCAGTTAACGTCACGTGTGCCTTTGTGCTCAAGGTCACGTCTGCAGCGTTGAGCTATACACGACAGGGTTCAGTGACTCCTAAAAACTGAAAATAAAATCGTAAATTTCACAAGCTCAAATATTCTGCTTACAGAGCAATACACTGAAAGGGTATCAACCAATTTACATTTTACTGTAAATGACTAATTAAATCATGATATAAGTAAGCCGTAGCAATAAAGTCCACAACCGCAGTCTCCAAGGTAGCATTTAACGTGCTAATTTATGGCCCTCTTCTCAGTGTTGTTAATGACGTAACCGCTGACATTTACGTAAGGTCAATCTATTCTGAGGCCTTTCTTGGAAAAAGGTGATGCTTTTTTTAAATATATATATTTTTACGTGATTAGGTTTGAAGTTCATATACATATATACATTTATATTAAAAAAAAACCTGAAATGCGATCTAAAATTTCAGAGCAGAATCATTTGTTTTCAGGCCCGTGGCGTGACCTTGTTAAAAAGGGGGCATAAAAAGAACCCTGGGAGGGGCAGGGAGGCACCGCAGTCAATGTTAAACAAATGTTTAACATCGCTTAAACTTACACTTATGTTTAAACGCTAAGCAGAATGAGGAGTAACGACGCGATCTGCTTTTGTTTATGTGCATTCAGCTCCAGTTATCACCAACATATTGTTATTTTACGAAAAAAATTACAATGGACAGCTGAGCCTTCTTCTCGGGAGGGGAACAGCTCTTCCAGCCTCCACCAACGCTCGAGGGCTGCTGCTGCCTTTGATAAAGAAAAAAAAGATTTGGGCCTGTCCATAACAGCCTCTAAAATGCTTAATGGGTGGCTTTTACGTAAGCTCGTGGTAACCAACCCACTCCCCAGACAATAACAAACTACAGTGCACAGTGGGTGAAGTCAGAGTTCCAAATTTAGACCCGCTGATCACCAATATTACATTGCTCACCATCCCCGGGTGCCTGTACACCTTCACGCGATTACGTTACTGTTTTAAAATGCACGTATCTTGCACGCTAAATTAGCTTAGCCATACCATTAATATTATTAAAATCACTCAGTCCAACTTACTGGGGCACTGCATTGATTTTAAGCCAGCATCTGTATTTCTGCCGAGTATGAGATCTATTGACCTCATAGAGCTGAGCTTCAGGAGAGGCGTCTGTGGCAGGCCAGGTGCAGGGAGGGGTAGGAATTTGAGAGCAACAAATCGCCCTGCAGAAAAAAATCGCTCCTGTGCCCAGAGCTTGCAGCCAGTGTGAAATTAACGGTGCAAGGTTTTCATAGTTGTCATTTTAAAAATTACATTGCTCATCACACGTCACTATATTTCCATAAAGCCGTACACTTTCTCAATCATGAGAAATGTAAAATATCGCCTGGAAAATTGACGGGCAATAAATATTCTATACGCACAATATCCTCTGTATTGTATAACGCACCACAGAATAATTAACGAATACTGAACTTGGAGTAAAGTATGGGCTACTCCCACCTACAAGACATCGGACCAGCATGGAAGAACAGGCCAGATATTCTCTATGGGATTTTGTAAAGCTCTCTCCAGTCGAGACCCTTTCGTCAGCAGTGGCGTGTGCAGGTAACAGTAGGGCTGCACCTGAAGTGTTTGTCCTGGTGAACTTGTCAAGCAGGCAGAGGTGATTGTCTGTACTCAACTCCTGGGCTACGATGCACGACACAGGGCAGTAAAATGCTGAATGACTTCCTGCTTAACAAGCCCTGCATGGCCCCCTCATCAGTGCCAGAGCTAAACGCAGTTTCCACGTGCTCCACCACACTTTAACCTCTCGATCTTAGAAAATAATGTGTATTCAGATCGGTGAAACTGGGGCAAGTCTACAATAGGAAATATTGAATTTAACAACTACATCAACGACATCGTTGTACAATATATATTACAGTGAAAACATAAAGTACATAAATACAGTACTATATTGAAACTATTACCTATACTTTGCATACTGTAGTGTCATGCCATGCAGTATATTCAATTGCGCGAACGTAGAACAATTACAGTGCAGGCGTCATCTCAGATATATTGACAATACAATACTTTATTAGCATTGCATTTAGTCATGTGCATGCTGATTTGTTGTTATACTGAAGTGCATTTTATACAAGTATTTATTTTAAAACAAAGGCAACATTCGAATAATTTACAAACACTTTATTTCAGCAATGACTGTCATTGTACAATCATTAAAGATAAACAAAGGATATTAACAGGGTAAACAATTCAACAAAATACAGACATCAAAACAAAATTGATATGTTTAATTGTAAACATGATTAACTGTGCCATATTTGCATTTAGAGTGTCAGATTATTCATACACATTAATAATGAAAAAAATAATTGGAAATAATACCACACCTATACCATGAGTGATTACTATATTAATAATTTGTGATGACAGCATCAAAGATGACAGTGACAATGATGGATATGATGGAAATAACTAATGTAATGTTAAACGTTCATGCCCTCATCAACGGATGCCCATTTAACTCTGTGCCTGCTGATGGACACTTCAGTTAATCCAAGAAGGATTTAAAGGAGATTCCCGAGGGTTCAGGTGATAGCTTAAACTATTTTATGACCCAGGCACTTCCAATTTTATTGGCAACAGCAGATACATTGTTTCAAACAGTGGGCTACACAGTACATGATGTGGGCTATGTACATGATGCTTAGGTGGCAACTTGTTCCTTGGTGTTCATGTAATAAATGTCTATCAACTACCTATTACAAACTATTTATTATTTTACCAGCTAAGGCCCACTTTGCTAAATAGCTCTTTTTCAGAAGCGAACCGGCCACAAATGATAGATCAAATTAGTGGATTATGATGTGGAAATGTATAGCAGCCAAATAATCTCAAAGTATGTTTATTCTAAATGTGGAGGGAAACCCCAGAAGACCCGAAGAATAATCCAAGCGACCACGGGAAAAATATGCAAACTCCAAAAATACAGGCATCAGGGTCAAGATCGAACCCACGATCTCCTGCATACCAAGTGAGGTAGTTAACATCTCGCCACGGTGACATCCCCTTAGATTATGGATAACCACTTGTGAGCAGTGGTCCATGCACAGTCAGTATTGGTGCTTAAATCATTGGCTGTGCACGGCTCCTCGAGCAGATGACACGAGAGCAGATGAGCAAGGCATCCTCTGCTCTTCACCACAGCCGCAGGTCGGCTTCTGAGTCTGGCCGAGATGGCCTCACTTCCTGAGGCTTTGCAGCAGCCAACAACATGTAAGTAGGTATTTCAGGCATCGCCAGATTGCCCGTGGTTCTTCTGACCTAGGCATGTTATATCTAGGCATTAGCTATGACCCGCACGGCATGGGGAGAACCTCCCATATCAATGGATTGATAAAGGGCTGGACACGTGAGGCAGCTGACTTCGCAGGCAGCAAGTGCTGTTGGGAGAGTATTGCGCATTGCCCACGAAGCACTCCCCAATTTGCCAAATACATTACCAAATCCATTAGTGCTTTCACATGCGCCATTATAAAAATGCACCTAATAATATCTAATTAGTATCATATTTGGTTGACGACAAAGTTGGCCATTGCGCCCAGACAGCACTGAGTGGCATAAACAGACAATTTAAAATAAACGTGAAAGAAATCTAATAGGCACGCGCAGGCCTTCCCAGTGGCCCACTTTGTCCTGAACTCTGCCACCTGTGGCAAACATCACCCACGGGCCCCTGCAAAATACTCCTAAAGCCTCAACTGCTTTGCGAATTAAACCCTATCCAGCATTAAGCGAACGTTGTTACTTGCACAAAGCAATAAAGCTCCCACATAACGACAAAAGCAAATGAGTTTTGCATTGTGTTTGCACCACGTTTTGCTTTGCTTGGGGAATAATAATTTATGTCCACTGTACATGTTAATTTAATCAGTGATGTTAAATTGCCACCATTACATTGCTCGCATTACTCTGTTAGTGTCCCAAACGGACCCAGAATGTCCCGAGCCTGTGTGGAGTTGGGGGGGCATCATGACACGGGCTGCGATCATTCAGCCACGCTATTCAACTGCTATTGCGCAAGAGGAGGCATCCAGTAGCATAAACGCGACTTCCAAACCGCAATGAAAACGAGCCCCACATTCCGAAATAAACACTTGCACAAGCCCGGCCAGAAGCACAAACAACCAATTGATAATGACAATGAAAACAGCTCTAAAGAATAATTGGGTGGCATGCGGTTATTCTTTTCAAAGTTTCTGTTTGTTTATGTCATAACTATTATCGAGGGTAATACATTACGTGGTAATTATTATTCTTCAGAAGACTATATCGGACAGGTGTTAAATGGATGAACTAGAACATAATTATCCCCCCAACAAATCACCAAGTTCACCTTCCTATTATTTACCAAGGAAAGCTGTACTGACTCTCAACACTTGAGGTGGTTCCTGCATGTTGGGATGTTTGGCTAATTCCATTCAGGAATGTTTTCGGCATATCAGAAGTTGCAGTTTGTAACTGAAACCCCAGGTCGTCGTGAGTGAACGGTTGTGTGCATTTCACGGCGTGATCTCAGTGCACCCTCAGAGGGCGCACAGACCACGAAAACACCAACAGAATCCAAACAAAGACATGACTAAACACACAAAGGCAGACACACGCGCGCATCTCGCACGTTCAAACAGCAGGCATTCCCCTTGAATGGCGCACAACCATATTCTCACCAGTCCGTGTACGTATGAGTAACATCTCACTCTGGGTCACTCAATGCACAAACGAGCAAGCGTCGTCAAGTGAGCCACGTGCTAAGGCTATTTACATCTCCCCCACGCCACCTTTAATGCCCTACTTAGATTTCGTCGTATACCGTGATGCAATAAATCTGCATTCTGATGGGATGTTTATCGCGGTACAACACTGTTGTTCGGTTTTATCGCACATCCTCCGCTTCATGCGTTGCCTTGTGATGCTTTTTTTCCAAACAATAACAGGGCCCTTTGAAAACGTCAAAAGATACATCGATAATGCCAGCCTAAAAACCCTGCCAGTGAATGCCTTGTTCCCCGTGGGTGCTTAAATAGAGGTGGAAATGTACTGGCAAGCACAAAACCTGAGCGTTAGTGAATCCCAGTGAAGGATTATGCAAGGTCACAACTGCCTGCTGCCAGTACAATAACTAAATTGAGGCTTTGCTCAAGTGCTTGAAAATAAGAATGTTACTGCAATAATGTGAACGATATTTCCACTCCTGGCAGCAACTGTATCGTCGAGCATGCGTCATACCACTAAGTAAAACGGACATGTATCTCCAATGACCACTCTATAAACGTTATGTAGCTTAATACAATGATGATAATAATAATATACAGCCCTTCGTCAATCCACTGCTAAACGGAGGTATTCCTGACACCGAGTACGTAATGTGGGTTTGTTTGACCATACTTCACCACGCGGGTCAATGCTGGTTGGTTGAGGGTAGGTGCCCAGAACCCGTGGCTGATGGTTCGCTGTGACCGGGAATCAAATTCAGGCGCCCTTGGGTTCTTAGCACAGTGCGATAACCACTGTGCCACTGCTCCCCTGTCCCGTTAAACCTTTCAAAGAACTGTATATACGTTTATAGTGCTTGCTGGAATGCAATAGGCGCATGCGATGCCTCGTGTCAGCAAATATTACTCAATATAGCACCAATCGACGGCCCAGAATAGTGATGGAGTGGCGGCCAAGATATGGAACGCGTCCGAGATGGACAGTCACCGAGGAGATGGAGCGATTAAATCAGCTACTGTGTGGGTGCTATGTGGATTATTATTATTATTACTTCTCCATCGCAGTTTTGTGAGAGTACAGTGACGGCTTGGGAAGGGAGGCGATAGCTGAGCAGTGGATTGATCTTGGCTGGTGGTGATGATGATGATGGTGGTGGTATCAGCAGTCTATTGTTGGCATTCTAAAGACAACAAAGTGCTTTGGAAGTTGAGTAGCTGCTGCTGCTCCTGCTGGCAGCAGACAAAAGATGCAGCAGCCTCGTGCCATCAGCAGTCGATAAGCAGTGAAGAAGGGGACACGCATACCCATTGTTATCCCGTCTACTCAATAAAGTTGTGTCGCCACGTTACGATGCGCGGATACTTCAGCTTGCCAGCAGTCAATAGCATTGTCTGGTGACAAGCAAATGGTGATTGTCATCACCATTTCGTTAAGACGTGGGTTATTTACAATTGTTTACATGAGCCAGCCAGCCTGTTATATCCAGCCAGCTAGTTAGGGCAGCCAGTTCACTTCCCCGCCAGCTAACCAGGCATCCAGATAGTCGGACAAGCAGCTAGTCCCGTGAACTAGCCAGCCATCCCACTCGTCAATTAGACACCCGATCAGTCGTCGAGCTTACGAATCATATCGCCGGTTAGGTACACAGCCAGCCAGGTAGTCGTTTAACACAACTAGTCAAGTAAATAGTTATACACGCAGCCATGCAGTCACCCAGCCTGCTTAAGTCACGGTATCCAGTTAAGCCTAACGAGCCGGCTGTTAGTAAGTCACTCAGCCAGCCAGGCGAACTCAGCCAGTCAAGACACCCCAAGCCAGTCCCCTGCCATCCAGCGAGTCGGGTGAATCAGGTTAACCACACACACACGCACATACATCCCCTTGTGATGACAGCGTTCACTCGGGAGCAGCAGGGTGATGGCGTTAGTGGGAGTGGTGGGTGCCAAGTCGCCCCATCTCGCTCTACCTTGAGCTGTAGCGGCTGGACTTCGTCAATGGTGTGCGCCCGTAACTTCTTTGTCAGCACCGTTATCATCCTAACCGGCCGGGCTGGCCCGGCTGGGTTGCGTGCGCTGCGGGAGGGTCCCTGCCTCCTCGCTCGCTGCTGCTGCTGCTGCCTCCGCTCCGTCTCCCGTCGTTGGTTCGTTCCCACTCGCCCGCCCCCCACTTCCTCGTCCTCCTCATCCACGTCGTCGTCCTCCTCCTCTTCCTCCGCCTCGTATTCGTCGTCGTCGTCGCTCCGTCTCCACCGTGGCAGTGCGGCGCCGCTACTGCTCTGGTGGTGCTGGTGGTGATGATGGTGGTGCTGATGCTGCTGCTGCTGCCAACTTTGCGCACAGATGAGATACATACATGGGGCTTGCGTGTGCTAAGTGGCGCTTGCGCTCCCCGTGTGTGCGGACGCGTGTGGGTGGTGGTGGTCCTCAAGCTACTAAAGAGAGTCGCACAAATCCAGCTCCGGCTTCTCTCCCAACCAACCTCCTCCTGCTGCTGCTGCTCCTCCTGCACTCAAGCACCCCCCCCCCCCCAACAATCAGCGAGCGCGCGTGTCCGTAGCCCAACTCCCACGGGTGTCTGCTTTGTTGTCGCTGGTTCTGCGTCCTTCTGTCTTGTTTGTTTGTGTGTGTATGTGTTTGTTTGTTTGTCGTGTGTGGGGGCTACTGCTGCCACTGCTGCTGCCGTCTCCGCTGTTTGACGTCCGGGCGTCTGCGCTCATTCATCGGCGGCAGCGGCTGCCGATGTTGTTGCTGCTGCTGCTGCTCCTGCTGCTGCTACCCCGGCACGCTCCCTCGCTCCGCCCTACGCACTCTGGCCCAGTCTGTTCCGCTGCCACCCTCTTCCCCACAACTCCCTCCCATCCTCTTGCACCTCCCTCCCTCTCTCTCTCCCTCTCTGTACCTCCTCTTCCGTGCACCACCTCCTTCTCTCTGTACACCACCCCCCCCGCTTTCCTCTCTCGCTGAACTCTGTATTGTCACCTCCTTCCCGTCTCTCCTTCCACCCACGTCTCTTTAATCTATCCCCGCACTTATTTCTCTCTCTTAAGACCTCCATCTCACTCTGTTAATTCCCCCCACCCCGCCGCGCGCGCCTCTTTCCCCGAACTTTTCTCTCTCTCAGTTTCAGTTTCTTTATTTTTGTATAGCCCTGTGAGCCATTCGGCTCTTGAATCGGGTGCAACCACAACAAACACAAAAATACGAACAAGAAAACATCTTAAGGTGACTATGTGACTGTGCAAACAGAAAATCCATGAAAAAACAGCAAAATATTCCTGAAAAAAGCACCGTCCACCAACGCTGTGTGCAAAAAATCCCAGTGGGATGCAATTCAAACAACAACATATTCTTGGTTATTTCGGTAAAGTCACGTAGAAGGGAAACAATACAATAATATATGTGACTTTACCGAAAGAACCAAGAATATGAATCCCTGCAGTCACGAAAGCTTTCAATCAAAACAACAACCACAAGAAAACTTAGATTAAGGCCATCAGTCTAACTCCGTCATACAACAAAACAAACATGTCCAAACCAAAAAAACGTTTTCGAAATCACCAAAAAATAAAGCCATAATTGCAACGTAACAGTTATAGGGACTGTGACCGAATTTTTACAATCAACTCCACCTCTCGATCTCAATGCACCTCTCTCATTTGCACCCCCCCCTGCCACCCTATTCTCTATCTTCCTCACCCCCCCCGTCTCCCTGCAACCTCCCTCTTCCCCGCGTGCTTGGGCAAGCTCACCGGTAGCTCCATTGGCTGCCACTCGGCCCTCTCTCGTCTCAACAACAACAACGACAACACAAAACCACATTGAACTCACCTGTGGGGTGACAAGGCGTGGGTGCTGCAGTGCTGCGCTGGCTTCTCTGCTTGTTTGGTGGATTGCACGGTGGGGTTTGGCTGAGTGATGGGGTGGGATGGGTCCCCTGGCTGGTGCTTGTTCATCCTCGAGTGTGGCTGCTGCTGCTGCTGCTGGTGATGTCTAGGATTTGTCTGGGTTGGTGGCCTTGGGTATCTTTGGTGGGGAGGAGGGGGGGGTAACAGCAGCAGCCTGTGTGGCCACTGAGATATACAAAAGATTCAGCTGCCCCCCCCCCAGCACACACAATGTAGGTTGTGTAGGGTGGTGGTCTCACAGATTGTATGGTCCGCCAGTAAGAACCGGCGATACGATGTCCAGGTGTGCATGCACGTGCACTCTATGCCGACGTATATATGTGCTACTTCTTTCACACCGTACGTGGCCAACCGTGCTAATCGGAGGTGCGATAATGTGCTGGGCCCCAACACCGCGGACCGCCCCAACAACGAGGTGGTGCTGGTGGTGTGGGAGGGAGTGGAACCTTTACGGAGCTCTTTGGCTGAAATAAAGTCCTGGGTATTATGTACAACGAGTGCTGTGCGTATTGATGGGGCCGTCCATAAATGACGTCACGCACCTAAAGGGGGGGGGGGTCAGTCATTTGTGACGATGTGTGACGAGGGTGGGGGGGGTTTGAGAAATGTGGCGTCACATCAAAATGCGCAACTTTAAATAAATATAGACAACACGTTCTACTTAATAAAATAGACTTTTTAATAAATGTTTTATCCTACAACATCAGAGTACAGCGCCACATTAATTACGCACTACAATGGCAATAGTTTCAAGCGATTTGAAGCATGTTTTATTGGGGGGGGGGGGGTAGAGCTTTGTGACGTCATATTTGAGGGGGGGTCTGACTTTTTGTGACCTCGTGTGACGAAGGGGGGGGGGGGGTAAAAAATCGTTCAAAATCGCGTCACGTCATTTATGGACGGCCCCGATGTATTGGTCGGTGAAGGAGCTGCCGACATTCATTGCGAGAAAAACTGCTAAATAGTTAATGTCCAATTAATTTCAAGAGCGAGTAGTTTAGTCCCAGCATTCTAGATGGAATAGGTGCCATGGCGTCACACGTTGGTGCGGCAGTGGTGGTGGTGGCATTATTGTCGTGAGCGGGCTGTTTGCGGAGGGAAGGTGTCAGCCCTCGGGAGAGCACCCCCACGCGTTCGTGGTCTCAAGGTGACCGCGCTGTGGTGACGATAACGAAATAAAGTCCGTGCACGCACACCAGCACAAACATCCCACCTCCAACCTCCCCAACATCTCATTCCCTCCCTCCCACCTCCGCACATCAACCCCTCCCCCATCACCCACTGCCATTCACACCAAGGGCTGCCTGCCCCCTCCTCCACCTCATTCACAATAGGAGCGTGCCGATTCTCCGGCGCTTGCAAGAAGTAACCAGTGGTTTAATCTCAGTTGTGGGGTATCGTATATGCACAGTGCTATACTGAACAGGGATTACATTTCTCATGGAAAGTTTTCCAGAGGCGCTCCCACCCACCTGCCCCCCTCCCCCAATAGCGGTGGGGGGGGGGGGGGGCACGTAAATATTATTTCCAGAGCTCAGCCCCGGACAGCTCCGGTTAAAAATTAAGTTAAAGTACAGAGTGGTCCAGTTGTCTTGTGACCCCCAATTAATTAACCCCTAAAAAATTGTGTTCCCTTGCATATTAATTTCTGTAGAAAATAAACCTTTTTAAACATTAGGTCTTAGATAATTAAATGGGGGTCACAATACGTATGGACCTCCCCGTACAGAATTTAAATAATGTTGTCGCCGTTGTGATAAGCGTACACCGTGTAGTACACGAATATAAAACCAGTTCTGGGTAAAAGAATGTCTTATTTGGGTAGTAGTTTATATATAACTAAATAATATGCCAGACTTTCCGTGATATACTACATATACGGTATTGTGTGATAACTAATTTATTATATACGTATACCGTAAATTGTATTTATTTCACGCATAAAATATTCCATAAATTATATTTATATCATAAATCGTGTTTATTTCACATAAAGCAGTATATACTACCGCGAGCAATTTTCAATATAATATTCGCTACGTACGTTTTATTTACAAAAGTGATGACCAGAATGTCGCTTATTTTACAGCAAGACAAATAAAACCATGATCTGCAAAATAATAACCGAGTGAACATCACCGCCGCATCTCCCAGAGGGCATGCACCGAGGGAGACGGAGCAATGACAGTTCGTGTGACAGGTGCTGGCTGGATTTTTGTTCCACCGCAGGATCGTGAGAGGTGACGTCGGCTCAGGAGGCCTTCATCCAGAAGTGGATTGAACATGGCTGATGATGCATATAATTAAACATAAAGCGTGTTTTACATAAAACCATGCACCGAATATCATTTTATATATCGCACATCATTGCAGACTTCGAATAGCTTTTGCTGTGAGCCATCCCGCGGCATCCGGGCTAGCTGAGTGAAATTGTTCCACCAGAGTACGCGTGTTGTATTGGGCAGGCATTGGTGGTCTGCGTCAGCTGGTTTGCTTGCACCTTGCCGCATTCAAAGTTTGACGATGAGTCCCTTGACCTTCCATTTATGGAAGAAATATCCACACCTTCCATGTGTTGTTCGGACACGGTTGAGAGTGGCCCACTATCGTTATTACTGCAGCGAAAAGGGCACATTGGCTTCACATTCATTTCAGCATTGTGTAAATGCAATCACTTTATTTCATGAGCGTGGCCTACGGAACAGACATAGAGGCGTCCCCAACAGTTGTGTAAACGGATTACCGTCACGCGTATTGCGCCCTCTTGTGGATGCGCAGGTGCTGCTGTACAAGCAACGAACTACACACACTGCCAGATCAGAGGTTCACTTCCAGATCCTGCTACAGACTTCCCTCTACGGTATTTAGCTTTGCCAAGGGAGTATTTTTTTTACATAACCTGCCAGCCTCGTAGAGTCGTGGAGTTGGAGGGAGATTTTGATACCAATATTGTAGCGAGGGAGAGGGAGGGCGGCTGGATTGTTGGAATGTTGGTTAAAATAGTTGTACAAATTGGGCAATAAGTGTATCAGCCTTATATACAATTGGGGGGGAGAGCTCAAGAATAATTCACGATATACAACAGCAGATCACGTTGTCAGTAATTCTGTTCAGCGTTTAACATTTGTTTGAGTTTGTTTAACATTGGCCCTGTGTCGTGCCCTCCAGGGTTTCTGTATACATCCCCTCCCCCCTTTAAATAAGGTCGCGCTACATTGTTGTGACACAGTAAGGCTGTAGTATACCCATATAGGCAGCTGTCCCCTCCACTACCCCCACTCAACCCAGCACACACGTCCCCCCCCCCCCCACCTTGGATACAGCGCCCCCGGGAAGCCACACGCTCGATTAGCACTAATGGATGGACTAACACACTGCTGGCCATCCACCCGCAGTCAATTGACCACAATTGATCGATACCTAAACATAAGATATGTTTTGGACTGTGATTCCACGATTTAACTGAACGGGTCGGGTGGGGGTAGTTCGTTACTGCTGGCAGGACACGTTTGGCGATTTTAACTGCCGTATTTTATTGATACAAATGAAACATTTTACTGCAGTAATACATTTAACATTAGAATGTCATTGAAATGAAAATGTGCAAGTCAAATGTATTTAAGATGTTATCTACATAAATACACATGTGCTTGGCGTTTATCACAGTTATTAGACGACAACGTTATGATAAAATTTTATCTTCATCTTCCGTATTGCGGGACAACGGTATGTACTGTACTTATAATAAATAGCGCCCTTGATTAATCCAAAAAAAGCCGCACTTGAGTCTCAAGATTATTTTTAGGGAAGCCCTTCTTCATCCATTCGGGATGTTTGGCCAATTCCTAAATTAGTATTTGGCTTTATGTGCAAATCAACTGGAGTACCCAAAGAAAATCCATCTTTTAAAGCTGACCTTTTTTTAAAAAAACCTCTAATCTC